ACATAGAAGTTGATTTTTCTCGAATACGGTGAACTTATGACTAAGGGTACCATTTTTGTGTCGAAAACATGGGGGGGTTCGAAACTGTATTTTTTTGATGGCGTAGAAGTTGAGGAGAAAAACATCCACTACCCCTTCAAAATCTTCACAAACCATGACTTGAAAAAAAAAGAACGCTCAAAACATAGCGTATTTTCATTAGGAAATGCTCACAGAAGCTGTTTCCTGTGCGATAAACGGTTCCAGAGATATTCGCGAAAAACCAACTGTTTTTCAGATCTCAACACTCGAAAATGGTCTATTTCAGAGGGTAAGTTGATAGAAACTTTTTTTCATATTTTTGAAAGAGCTATCAAGTCCTGAAGTCCCGCACATACAGTGTCATTCATAAAGTCGGCATCATATGGGAAAAACTTTTATTAATGTCTTATTTTGGAATTCGAGTTGTACGTTGAGTTTTGCTTCAAAAAAGATGAAAAATGGCCTACTCAAACGGGGTCACGTGACTTTCGCAACATGTCAAAAGTGACATTTTTTCAAAATAATCGCTGAAAGTAGGCTTATTTGTTCGAATATCGAAAAAGTTTACTTGAAAAAGTTGTTTCTATTTCAATTTTACACATGCTTCTTGAATTTGATCTTTCTATTGCAACTAAATTCTTCAAAATTTCTGTAATATTTGAAGAATTGTTTATTTCACGAAACTACTTCATACCAGTAGCTTTTTCATGCTACTCACTTTCAATTACTTATTATCGCTGATTATGGACCAAAATATGATTTTCTTCAGAAAATGATAATACCCGCTTCCAAATTCTGTTGTTTGATGCAAAGTTGAAATTTTATATCGTCAAGCATTTAGAAACGAAATTCATTCAAACTGATCTTTTCAGTACTGAAAAAATAAATTGAAATGAATTTCGTTTCTGAATGCTTGACTCAAACATAACAGCATTTTGATGTTATGTTTGCATCAAACAACAGAATTTTGAAGCGGAGATTATCATTTTCTGAAGAAAATCATATTTTTGTCGATAATTAGTGATACTTAGTGATTGAAAGTTAGTAGCATGATGAAGCTACTGGTATGAAGTAGTTATATCGAATTTACAATTTTTTCAATATTACAGAAATTTCGATAATTTTTAAAAAATATCGAATTCTAAAAAATGTAATAGAAAGATAGAATCCGAGTCACATAATATATGTAAAATTGGAATAGAAACAACTTTTTCAAGTAAACTTTTTCGATATTCCAACAAATAAGCCTACTTTCAGCGATTAATTTGAAAAAATGTCACTTTCGACATGTAGCGAGTCACGTGACCCCGATTGAGTAGGCCATTTTTCATCTTTTTTGAAGCAAAACCTGACGTCCAACTCGAATTTCAAAATAAGTCATTAATAAAAGTTTTTCCCATATAATGCTGACTTTATGAATGACACTGTATATTATGGAACACCCTGTCGTGGCCTGTACATAGGTAGGTACCCATCGCATGATCCCATATTACGCTATTCATCAAAATCACGTCATCGATGTGTGATCCATGCGTTGGTGGTCGATCGTAAAATTGACTAACAGAGAGTGATGGATCTCTTCGCAAACTAATTCATGTGGATTAACTACACGATATAATGAGATAGCTGATAATATTCAATATTGTAGATAATGAAACACATACAGGGTCTTTCCGAGATTGGGGATGATAAATGAAATGGATGATAGAGAGCAAAATAACAGAATGAAATCAAAAAATAACTACATTTTCGTCGTAAAAATATATACTTTGGGAGATATAAATGACTTTCAATGTTTGTTCGAAACGTTTGTGAATCATTGATCAGAGATTAATAGTCCAACTCAAGTAATTGCTTTTGGCTAGATCAAAAGCACCGGAAGTATCAATACCATTTGAAATTGCCGGACGTTCAATAATAGTTGGTAATGGCACATTTTTGAAGAATTTTCAAAACCATTTTTTTGTGATCCATCGTGTCATTATGTCTCATAAAGCGCCTCATTTTATTCATTGCCCCAATTTCGGAAACACCCTGTATACATACAGGGTGTAACAATAATTTTTTTGAAAATATTAGGATTGGATTCCTTTCTCAAAAATGAAATATCAGTTTCTTCAAGGTTCTGTCCGAAGACTCGAGATACAACAGGATGATAATTTCCGAAAAACCGGGTTTTTGATAATTGATTTTCTAAAAACTGCCTTTTCCCCATTGCCTCTAGATTGGGTATGCTTACCTTCATCAACAAACTACTACTGAAATGATAGGAATTTGTTCTATTATTTGAGTCAGGCGCTCGAAAATAACTTGCAACCATATCAAAAAGCAAATTTTACAGGAAACGTGTACGAATTGTAACTATGGAAATATAAAGAGCTACATGATTTATTATGTCATATTGATACATATGAAACAGTGGTGAAATGAGGATGAGAGTAGCTGTTCAGCAGAACAAGGTTGTAATATCACAGAACAAAGTTGTAACAGGCTGGTTACAACTTTGTTCAGATGTGAATGCTTGTACGTGTGTGTGTCTGATTATAAAAAGTAGGCAAACATCAACATTTTTCAGATCTGTTAGGTCTATTGAATTCATTGTATTACTTTCAAGCATGAAATGACGCATTACATTTTAACCGTCACTTTGCAAATCATTGTAAAATTCTCTGTATTCCAATGAATTTGCACATGTCTAACAAATTTTCAGTTTATTCGCAACACATTTGACGGCATTTTGCAAGAAAATGAACAAACACAGAACACGAAACTATGAGGTGCTCTTGTTGTTACAACCTTGTTCTGGCCGAAGCAATGCATGCAAAGTGAAATGACCCTTAATAATATCTATTTTAAGGTCGATCTCAGTAAGAATGGCAATATAATGTTGCTTACAACGTTGTTTCATGTAACCACCATTTATAATAATAATAATAATATGTATTTATTGACAGAAGTAAAATATAAGACAATACAATTTTCAATAGAAATGTCTGCCAAAGGGTAACAAGATTGGATAACTCCATTCTTACTCTTGCACCAAGAAAGAAGAAAAAGATTTATATATACATACACGATAATTTAAATCTATGATAATTTAAATACGACATACACATTTCTGAAATATCGTTGGTTACAACCTTGTTCGGGGCAGGTATTCAATTGACAAATCATTTTATCAAACAAACAAATCAATATCTATGAAGCAAACTAGGAACAGATCATTGGACGTAGCCCTCATGAAGAGTCAACAGCAGACACGTGTTTCGGGCTTCCTGCCTTCATCAGTACGGTGAAAAAAGTGCAGAAGATAGGCAACACTTGGTTGAAGACGAAACAACAAATCGGCGGAGTCAACAAACAGAAGCCAGCCGCAAAATTGCAGGGTCTGCTGACTGAAACCACAATTGTGCGACTGGCATCTGTATGACGACTCCTGGATTTGTTGTTTCTTCTTGCATCAAGTGTTGCCTATCTTTTGCACGTTTTTCCAACGCACTGATAAGGGCCGAAGGCCCGAAAAAAATGTCTGCAGTTAACTATTCATTAGGAATATGTCCGATAATCTCTTCCTAGTTTGCTTAAAACAGTCCCCTCAATATTCCTTCCATTAAAATAGTTCACCTAATGCGACACTACTGTAAGTAGTTGAAATTTGAATTCAGACATTTTTTCGTATTCAATATGGATTTTGAACTAAGAGTTCGAAAAAAAAACTTCGAAATATCGAGCAGCACATTTAAAAAAATATTGATGATGATAATTAAACACATCAAATCAGATCCGCTTTCGTGATACGTTGTGCGTTATTCTTTATAGATTTTACCCTGCTCTCTTTAGATATATCCGAACAGGTCCACCAAATTATGCTATACAGAGTTTTGTTTTTGAAATAGAAGAAATCAGTTTTTCCTCAAGACGAACCTCAAAAGAGATGATCAGATTGAGATATTCATAATTATAAGGTGTCTTAAATCAAGGCTGGTTGTCGAAACTGATGACACTCATGAGGTTCTTGTTCATAGAAAATTCGTAAGAGGCGCTGATATCGTCATATTCTTGATGGGCATCGGACCAAATAACAACAATTATTTATACTTACGACAAGAAAATACCGAAAGGAAGTATAGGTTTATTTTTGAAAGTGTAAAATTTTGATGATCGAGTTTCTATTACCATCAAGAGAAATCGTACTGCGACATCTATTTGAAAGAGAAGTAACAAGAAGAACCCTATATTGCGATTTTCAACTGTTTATTGTCGTCGAGTTTGGGCGAATTGAAAGCACATCAGTGCAAACACCAAATCACTTATGATCTTAGACCAGATGAAAATTCTTGCGAAATCAAGAAAACTCCTTTTATTTCATATGAAAGATGGTAGACACATCAACAGGAGATGATTTGGAACCACCAAAGTGAAGTGTGCTCTATCTACAGGTATCGGTTCTACAACAAAATAAACCTGAATGATGTTTTATGAACTCCCCATCAAGTTCCATCTATTCAAGAAAAACGGTTGAGGGAAGAAATTCAGAGGAATTATAGGAAATTATGTGTCTGTTTCTGTTTTGCTAAGTCATGGGGTATAATCGACGACTGTGCTGTTCATCAAAAATTGCTTTCATCAACTGAAAACCTATGTTATGAAACTTCGTCTAAGGGGGAAATTAATATAATCTAGTGTTTTCAAAATATGCTCACATGACGATATCACTCTTCTCAATATCCAAAGGAATATTATTTGAAGACATACATAGTGATAGCAGTTTTTATGTGTTCAGATTCTACACTAGCAGTACCTCGGAAAGAAGTTCGACACAATATAGTCGACCAACGTTGAAACTTTTAGCAAATATTCGAACAATGCCAATCATATATGAGTGTTTTCTTTCAAGGATATATAACTATTTTCAAATATATCAAGAAATTGCTCTGATATCCTTTTAGATGATGGAAAGTGAGTTAGTTTGTCCTTACCTTCTCCATAAGCTGTCGAACCATCCCGTTCCATTCGCCGGTTTCGAAATCGAAGGCTCCATACTTCCCATCTGGCACTAGCAATATTTTATATTCGAAATTCACCATGGTGGCGATCGCCTTGAGCAAATCTATACAGAAGCCTTCCAGTCGGCCGTTCCCAACTAGATTTGTTTGCGGTTTTAGCATTACGTACGGCTGTTCCTAGCAATAAAATGCGAAAGTTACAGCCGTTACAGGCCTACTTAACTATTCGAACTGTTTTCTTTTCACAAGAAATTGCACCTGACAACACTGCTACTGAGGCAGAAGAAGCTACAACCCTCAAATATATACTTTGGAGGAACCAAGTTGAGTACGCATATCGGCGTGTTGTAGCTACTCCACCTGAACAGATGTTTTGCATTTATGAACCAACAAATGCTCTCAGAACAAAAAAAAGATCAATTTAGTCATTATATGATTCTCCATTGATCTGGAATTTTTACATGGAATCAGAAATGAACATTGATGTTTATTTCCATGAAGTTGTGATACAGATTTGTATACTCCGCACTTATTGAATGATGTGATGATATACTACAGTCTTCATGAACTCTGAAAAACATTTATTCAATGGCTTACATGCACCAGCAAAGCTCCAGCCTAGCAACTCACACAGTAGAAGGATACATACATGCTGCATAAGCTGCAATACCATGCCGTTCCACAGTCCCGTGACATGATCACGTGCCCCATACTTTCGGTCCGGAACCAAATCCAGCAGATAGTCGAAACCGACTTCTTGCGATACTCGCTCCAAAATGTCGACACAGAAGCCAAAGAAACGGCCGTTGCCAGATGAATTCTTGCCGGCATGCATCATCACGTAAGGGATCTCCTATATCAACATAAACTGAGATGCATGTGAACGCGTAAATAAATCGAAGCAAACTACGGGTGGATTCTTACAAAGGCACGAAAACCAATCTCTACCGAAACACTATCAGGCACCGAAATACCAATTAGACCAATCAATGAATGACCCAACGACACATCACATGACATTCAGTGGACGTCCGTTTTACATCCATCTTCAGTCCAAACGTCCATGGGTGTTAAATGGACGTCCATTGAACGTACAAGGCACGGACGTACCATGGACATTATGAATTTGTACATCCATTGTACGTACATATAATGTACATAAATATACTGATTCATTGATATATATCATGATCAATTATCTCTATTATACTATTTAGTTTTCATCCGAAATGGGAATGTGATCCCTAAAAATACGCATTTCATCAGACACTCAAAGGAACGTACAATAATAAACACCCATTGACTGTCCACTAGTAAACATCTACTGATCGTCCACTATAGAACATCCACTGGACGTCTGCTATTGAACATCCACTGGACTTCCAACTCATACACATTATATGCACTTATACATTCAATATCGATTTAATGCCTGCTACCTTTTGAATGCATTCAGTTCATTCACGTTCTATCATCGAGGGTAAGATGGGTACACTCTTTTTACATACTACTGGTGAAAATGGGCTCTAGAAAACTTTTGAAGAAATACTATGAGATTGTGTGTGTGAATCTGATTTATATAGAGATGGAAATAACGAGTTTTATTTTGCATCTCGGTTTCTGTCGAACTTTGATCAACTTTTTGTGGTATTTTTTTGAGTAGTGGAACACCCTGAATATATATAGCTTCTGAACCCAGTTTCTTTTAAGAATTGCAAAATTCTTCAAAGTTGTACCGATTATTTGCAGGAGACATTGTATCTGTATCCTTTGGAAGAATTCAGTGTTGAGGAGGTCTGTAGCACATGATCACGTTCCTGAAGGCTTCAAGCTATAGGTGAGGTATAGCCTTCGATACCTAGTGCTTCTAGCAAAATCACATCAGTTGTGTGGGTGGTTTCTTGGTCACGAATAAATAGATGTCCATTAAATATCGAATTATCGAGAAGAGAGTATGAGAGAAAGAGTATATTAGTCAAAGTTTGATGAATTTATGGGACTCATGGAGTATATAGAACTAAAACCTCGATAATTATCAACTGCAAATAATATCATGAAAGGAAAGAAACTCACACTCAGTTTGGTGATTACCCTCCTCGATGTTCCTCAAGAAATCACTATTTATGAGGAATGGGCGGATTACGTGAATCATTAAATGAGGAGCAGAAAACAGCCTTGCCCATCATTTGAGAATTAAACTTTCTGAAGACCATCGGAGACGAGGAAATATCCAGTAATGAACCCCTTTATATGGAAAAGAGGCTATCATTTATTATGAAGGGTGTCCCGTATTTATATTTGCCGCCATTTTGTTGATACTATATAGTTGTACGGTGTTTTTTTTAAAATTATCACGTACAGACCATGCTTTTTAGGAATATGGAGAAGTATTCAAATAAACAAAGTTCAATTATTATAAAAACACATTCACAAAAACAGTTCGCCAAGTCTTCGGTTGAAATAATGCGCCGAATGAATCGACAATGAGGCGTTTAGTTACAAAATTTGTGTCCATCAGCGTGAATTTAGTCTAAGTCGATTGATTTGGCGCATTATTGTGAACGAAAAGTAGAGGTTATAATTTTGACAAAACTTTCACCATTTCTGTAATGTGTTTTTACAATAATTGAACGTTATTCGTTTAAATTTTTTTCCATATTCATCATTCGTGTGGTTTGAACTTTGTAGTGATAACTGTAGTAATAAATCACCGTACATTTCGTTTTAACAAAATGGCAGCAAATTTAGATCCGGAGCTCCTGTTGGGCCATCCTATACAAGTAGACGACTCCTTATTTCAAATTGACTTGGGTTTTTCACTTGACTAATATACTCAACAGATCCAGAATACTGTTGGATACAACACAATGGAATTGAAAGCTGATCATTGAGAAGAATGTCATTCTCCATTTTATCAATAGGAGAAGACAGATATGTTATATGGGGTGATCTTGAATATGATAAACTCTGTTATAGTCTGTGCAGAACATAACGTGCAAAAAAATTAACATAAGAATGTTCATGCACAAGAGAATCAAACACACATGATCATTGTTTTCTTGAACATAAACTACTTTAAGTGCATAGAAAATAATCGATTACAGCTGTCCAAGTTCTTTGATGAATAAGCTCACTTTGATATCGTCTAAAAAAATTGGTTTGTTTGAATATGAGGATTGTTGCATTTAATATTAATATTTATCCACCAGAATAAAGGTTCCCGAAACACAAAGTATAGGTCAATTAAGAAGATGAACCTATTCAACTTCTCACCGAATGAAGAAACATGCTTTGACAATTGAATATAATGAAACCAGAGGAAATCATTAATAATGAATACTCCGACTTCAAAGGAACAAAGTAGCATGATAGCGAACTTTTCTCTCATGAAATATGAATGTAATAAAACTGCGTTGAAGTCCTAATTGGTTTATTAATGCAATTTTCCCTAGAAGGAATTAGGAAAATGCTTCAGAAAGTGTTGCTTTACCCTAAGTAAATAGGAAGTTATTTGTTCATATTAAAACCCACAGGAGTTTGCTTGGCTAAATTTCACTATAGTAGAGCTGATTAGCTAAACTATTGTGTACTTTTTGATACCTGCATCAAATATGGCGCAGAGGTAGACCAATATAATATAAACAAATTTGGATGTTTAGTCATCGGCCAACTGCCGCCTGGCGGTCGTAGTGGCTATTTTCCAAAATGGTCACCAGTGGACATCAGAAGCTAAATGAAGTTTGTCACAGAATGTTTCGAATGAAAGCATTTTTTTCCCATACGTTATGTGGCGGATGTCCATGTAATGTAAAAAAACTCTATAGTTATATTGCAATAAGAGATAGAGAACATCTTTTTGAGGATATAGTAACATATAGTAAGGCCTACATAAAGCGGGATTATCTTGATCCCTACAGGATGTTTTGCAATCGCGGGGCTACAAGATTGATAATTTCATTGATTGGTTAGAAAAATAATGCAAATAATTTATTACATTCAAATGAACTATAATATCTGTAGATTTGCCATGTTGTATCAAATAATTAAGACAAAATATGAAAAATCTCTTGTACAAATCGACTAAACTGTCAGTTCAGAACATATGCTTTCAAAGAATCCCCAACAACACAAGTACATCCTATGGACATCCCAGGGACGCCCCTCCTTGACTATGTGTGTTGACCCTGTGTCAGCCTCTGTCAGGACACGGGACGTACTAGGGACGGTCTATGGACATCCCTAGGCTTCCAAAAAATACGGCCTCTTCAGTACGTCCTAGGAATGAATATACCAAGTACTATCTACATCATCCCGAAGACATTCATCGGGTATACCATTACAACAATAGTGAAACCCAGGGACATCTTTTGTAAGTTCCAGGGACCTTTTGTATTGATATGAAAGACGTTCCTGGGAAGAACATGAAAAACACTCAAGATAAATATAGGGCATATATATACGGTATTATATAGAAAAATAATGATAATAATACAGCACAAATCTTGCATGTTACTCAATGGTTTTTGCACTGTGGTGTCTTGGTCGTTATTGGTCCCGCATGTTGTAGTCCTGGATCCTGGCGCTGTCACTAGTATACCAATCCCTACTTCATTATATCGTTAGCAATCCATATTTGTTTCTGAATTTATGTGGCGAGCGTCAGCGAGATGTAAGCGGAATGAAGGCAAAATGGATATAAACAACGATTACTTGCCAGTGATATACTTCGTGAGGAATAACGAAGATTCATCTTCAATGAGAATTGTTGTTGCATATTAATTCTGATTTAAAGGATGTCCCAATCATATCCTCGTACCGACAGTAACTTTGAGACATGAAAGGGACGTCCCTTCAAGATCCTTATTGTGTTGTTAGGAATGCGAATTCAGTTGTCAGAGCACTTCCCGTTGCACTTGCAAGAGATGAGCACCAGAGCACCCTGCAGATCTTGGATGTTCTGTTTGAAGTAATGAAGTTATGACTGTCCGAATAAGTCAACTCTGATAGTTCATTATAAATCATCCTGCAAGGTAACTTTCAGTTAATACTTCATTGAAGCGATACTTGAAGTATCATACAAGTTAATGCATGATTTTTTAATGGAAATGTTCAGCATGAACATCCAGCCGATTTGGAAAATGGCCACCACGGCTTCCAGGATGCTATTGACCGATAGC